AAAAAAGGATCCCAGGATTATTAGGATAATATATAAGATATTTTGTATTGCTTTTTCATTATTCTTTTCTTAGATATTAATTATAGACCTTGATATCTTGGAAATCACAACTATAGTATGACTGTTAGGTACAAGAATGGCAAACCCTGCCAACATGCTTGTAGAATGAAACCATGACACCTGCATATTCTAACACAAATCTTGAATTGATGTTCCTGTGTAAATTTACCTCTGGATAAATTATGATATTGAGGCCTTACCCTCTACCCTCTTCTTTTCAGACAGTAGCATGTGCTCTTCCCTTGCATTGCCTTGCCTAACCTCACCTTGCTTCTCTCTGGTCATGCCAAATTGAAGAAAGTTTTCTGTCTTGCTGTCTCAGCATGGGGTTATAGCTTCATGTATAGTCCTATCTGTCATCCCAGTGCCGTAGGATGTTCAGAATTTAACAAGGCTTTAATTCTTTTGATCATCGTGGACCATGAAGTGATGCCTAATGGAAAGTCTTGACATAAGACAAGAATTACCTTGGGAGTAGTCTGTCTTAAGCAGGTTACTCTGTAAATCTGTGAGGGCTCTGCACAGTCATTTGACTCTAGATCTCAGAAGAAAATGGGGAGGCAGCTGGCAATAGCTCAAGGCAGCTGTTCTCCTCCCTCTTTCCTTGCTGCCAGGACAGGTGGTCTCTCAAAATTATCTTGTTTGTTAATAAACATATAATAAAATTGCATCTGCTTGGTTACATTTGGCAAAAATCTAATACTTCTGTCAGTTTTCATCAAGCCTCTGACTTTCATAATGTTGCAATAACTAGGGACTGAATTGGCAGGTGCCTCATTCAGTATTTCTGCAAAACAGATCACGTATATTGGACCAAATCTTGCTAGTGGTTGAGTCTAGCTCAGTCTCTGCACTCTTCAAGTTGCTGTAGAGAGTTTGGGCTTAGCTCACCCTTTTTTGCTTATTTTTTTGCAGTGTCACATATGTGTTAATTTCTAAGCCACTTTGTCAAAAACAGCTTAGAATTAGGAAAGTACACCTGTTACTGGTCAGTAAACATTTTTCAGTCTCCTAGATTTTGTCTGTTAGAAATAAAATAAGAAATCTCTACTCATTCTTCACAAATGTTTGGTCAACTTGTCTTTAGAAATAAGATGAGGCAAAACAGAGTTCTGCTATTTTTTTTTTTTTAAATAAAAAACACTGGAGTATGCATTTTATTTCTTCAGCTTCCAAATGACTGTTAAATTGTTTAGCACAGTTCTTCTAATAACCTCCCTCTGTTGGCTCCTTTTTATATGCCTTTGGAAGTTAAATCTAATTAGCATAGCTGTAGAACTGCTTGGCATATGTCTCATAAAATTCTTTAGCCCCTGCCCTCCTCCATACTTAATACTTCCTAATTAACTCTGAAAAGAAAATGAAAAGGAATTGACAGACATACCAGTTTTCACCCAGACAAACACAGTAGAGGTCTCCACACAGAACCATCGAAAACCACACTCACAGAGAATGGATCAATTAGTTTATAAAACAGAGAAAATGCTTTTTTTAAAAAAATATGATTGGCACACAGGTCTACAGGTTCTAAAATATGTTTTCTGTTTACAGACATCCCAGGTAGGTCAGTTTAGATCAAACCCTCTGTACTTTCCAATAATAATGAAGTTTGTAATACTAAATTATTGTATTTATATATTCATAACAGATCACAATTCACTTCAACAGAACACATTTCTCATGGTTTGTAGGAATAAAAAAGAAGCAGTGCACAAAGGAGATAAAATGAGATATTAACTACATGAGTAACTATTAATGTCTAAGATTTACAAAAGCTGAAATTTTTTAAGCTTATATTTTTAAGATAATACCAAATAGACTCTGTTGCTCATAATCAGGAAATTGAGAACATATTCCCTGAAGTTCTAGTGTCACTGTTAAAACTGATTTTCCTCTTGCAGATTGCAAGTTTTTAGGGGCAGTGAATATATTTTATATGTTCATGATGTTTTACAGTTTTGGTTAAAGAATTGAAATAATCTTGGTGGGTGGCTAGAATGGCTAACAACTAGACTCCCATCCAGCCACTCACTCACTTCCTTCTACTTAACAGAAAGGGAAAGAATAGGAAAAAACCAACAGTATGGAATCTCCTATGTTGAGAAAAAAACAGGGAAATTGCTTGTTGAGTAGAAGTGTGGGCAAAATGGACTGGATATGGTAAAAAATAATTTAATTTATTGCCAATTTCAATAGATTCAGCTGGTGAGAAACAAAAATACAAACAATAAACCAAAACCTTTCCTCAACCCTTTCCCAGGCTCAGATTCACTACTGTCCACCACCCCAAGCAGTGCAGGGGGGATGGGGGGAGTGTGGCCAGTACACAGTGGTTTCCCGCTGCAGCTACTTCCTTCTCACACATTTCTCTGCTCTGATGTGAGTTTGGCATGGTCTGCTGTGAATAACAGCACCAGGACCATAAAGGACCTCCTCTTCTTCCTCCTCTGATTTTGTTGTTCCTACTGCCGTTTCTCACAATTTTTGTTCCTTCTTCCTCTGCCTGTGTTTTTTTCTGCCCTTTCTTAAATAGGTTTTCCCAGAGGTGCCACCAGCGTAGCTGAACGGGCTGTCTGTGCCCTATGGTGGGTCCGTTGGAGCTGGATGGAACCAGCTGGAATTGGTTGTGTCTGAAATAGGGCAGCCTCTGCTTCTTATCACACAGGCCACCCCTGTAGCCCTCCACTGACAACACATTGCCACAGACACCAAATACAGCTGTTAAAGTGGCTCTGGTCCCTGGGCATCCATCTTGCTCTTGCTTGCTGTACATATATCTCAGTCGTCCATGTTGCACTATGTAGCAATTAATTCTCTATGCTTTCTTTTTAATTGTAAAGAAGAACTTGAATTACCAGATTTATTTCCTATTTTTACATTTATATAAATTTTCATCCAATTTTTAAAATAATATGCAGACATTCACTGAGTTATAATATTGCAGAATTGTGTTTTCTAGCAATATTTCAGTTTTAGAATACATGGGAGAGATCAGATCCCACCTTATAAACACCTTGTAAATGTTCATCTGTTCACATTTTCTGTTCTATTATGTATGCTACAGAAGTCTTTGTAATGCACAAATTCCTGAAAAAATGAGTCTTATTTTACTATTAGCCTGGGGTAATACTCATGTGGGAAGGAGGTGTTGTTGGTGAGGGTAGAATGAGCAGGAACAAGGTGATACCCAGGTCATTCAATGACTAAGCTGCTACTTCATGTTATTCTTTGCGCTCCCTGTAGACCTGTCCCAAGTACTCCCTTGGGGTACCCTATTTTTCTGATTTAGACCCCCCATAGCAACTCATTAACAGTTGAAAAAGGGATCATGTAAAAAAAAGATTTTTAAAAAAAACCCAACACTTTATTCAACTACTCCTGCTATACATGCACTCTGACACTATTCCACCCCTATAAAGAGAAAAGGCTTCCCAGATATCTTTCTGTGTTAAGCAACTGTAGAGGACTGCCCAGGGTTTTAGGGGGGAATGAGTCAACATCTCAGTATTGAAGAAGTCAGTACATCATATCTCAAGGGGAAATTTTACCTTTACACAGAGAGTACATTGTGTTCTTTGCTTTTAATAGTTTAAGAAATTGCAAAAAAGAAGAATCAGCACACCTCTTCTGTGTCTGATAAAACACAAGATATCCAGAAGAAAAGATAGGCACCTACTTTATCACATACATTTGAGGTCTGGTATAAGAACTACTTTCATATCCTGTAAAAAATATGACACTTGTAAACCATACTGAACAATTATTAGTACTCACTCACTTGTTTCTAAAGCTGAAGAAATAGCCTTTGCTGCTTGTACAAATTTCAAGAGAACCGTACACTAATCACATTTCAAACAGCTTGGATTTACTTTATTATAAGGGTCTGAGAACTGGATCACTAGTTTTAGATAAAGGACTCCAAATACTCATCTGCCCTATTTATTCTATAACCAGGAAAAAATCACAAACACTTATTTTCTATTCTGATTTTGAGTGACAATTTTCTTTTTGAGTTAATTTCTATACATTCAATTCAAAATCAGCTTTAAGGCAAGATAAATTTCAGCAGCCTTGAAGTAGGCTCCAGTTTATATGTTCTACTAATTCAGTAAAGCTAATTAACTTGGTTCTGCTTTTTGATTCAGTTTGCTTGAATTTAATGCTTATGTTTGGTAAGAAGACAGATAAAGAGATAAATGGGTCACTATATTTATAACTGCTCATTATTTCCTTTAATATCCATGTTGAATAGTGTAAGTTCTGATTACAACTGAAATGCTTTTATGCCATTTTAGCAGTAATTGACTGAAACACACAATTTGTACTTTGATTCTGTCTGTTAAGTACTTGATCACAAACCATTTGTTGATAATGTTTTTAATCAGTCAGTTCTTTTTCAAGTGTTTAAAAATAGTTTAATGATAGACTTTTTTTCTGGTGTGAAAGTTTCTGCAAGCTTTTCTACATTTATAATAAAATCATATATTTTCACAACGGATTTTTAAGATAACTAAATATGACTATTATAGATATGCTTAAAAGCCCTGTGTTGTTGAAGTTGATGACGGGATGGTAAGTCAGTTGCAGTTCACTTTGGTGAGTGTCTTAGTTTGGGCTGAAATAGAGTTAATATTCCTTTTCAGGGACTAGATGAGTGCTGTGTTTTGGATTTAGCTTTGGGCTTGGTATGGGAAGAATGCTGATAGCACACTGATGTTTTCAGCTGCTACCGAGACTCCAAGGACTCTCCGACTCTCCATGTCCTGCCCGTGCGCAAGGGCACAGGGAGCAGGGAGGGAGCACGGCCAGAGCACGTGACCCTAACTGGCCAGTGAAATATTCCATATCATGGAACGTCATGCTCACTATATAGAGGAGGGGTAGTTGGGAAGGAGCTCCCTCGCTTCCAGGATTGTGATTGTGGGATCTTGGTATCTCGGGGTCGCTAGCCGGGAACGGGATGGATATTGGTTAGCGGGTGGTGAGCAATTACGCTGTACATTGCCTGTTTATATATTTCCTTTTTTTTTTTTTTTTTTTTCCCCTATCATCATCATTCTTCTCATTTTATTGCCATTATTAAACTGTTCTTATCTCAGCCTGCGAGTCTCCCTTCACCCCTCTAATCCCCTCCCCCATTCCCAGGAAGGGAGGGGGAAGGGAGGGTGATTAACTGCAGGGGTTGATTGCCGATCAGGCCCAAACCACAACAGTGAGGTGACAGAATGGAAATTAAATGCTTGATAAATAGTCTTTAATGCATTCTGTCAATAAAGATTACTCAGTTTTTAAGACTTTTATTTCACTTTACAACCTGCATTTTTTATTTGGGTTTGTTTTGTTTTTTACAGCTTGTATGAAAAAATAATAGTTAACAGGGCATGTGTTATTTTATAGGTATTTGAACAGAAAAGGCAACAAGAAAGGCTGTATTTTGACTATTCAAGACAAATAAATGCTGGTGAAGTATGGACTAGGTAAGTATCCAGTGAGATAGACTAAAACCAGGCTGAACTGTGTGCCCAAAGGATTGTGATCAGCAACATGAAGTCCATCTGGAGTCCAAATACTCATGGTGTGTCCCAGGGGCTGATACTGAGGCCGATTCTGTTTAAACTCTTTATTAATGATCTGGACACTGGGACAGGGAGCACCCTCAGCAAGTTTGCAAATGACACGAAACTGGGAGGAGTGGCTGACAGATAAGACGGGTGTGCTGCAACACAGCAAGAGGTTTATTCAGTGCTTAGATATTCCTCCAGATTAAAAGAGATTTTTAGAACAATATTTAGATACATTAGACAATAAAAAATGAATATTTAGCAATTTATTCCTGTAAAGATGATCAGGAGGTTTGTATTCAATGCATAGGTTCATACTAGTCTCCTGATACTAATTATATCTACAACAAAAATTTTACTATGACACAATAATCTTTTCACAGTATTCTACTATATTATTTGTTATAGGTTTTAATTCATATTAAGGAGGAAAATGTGTCATTCATATACAAGAACAGACACTCACTCATGCAAACGTTTTTGCATGCTTGTGCACTGAAGACCTGGAGAGCTCTTGACAGAGTAAGGCTTCTGAAAGTTTTGGTAGAAGAATAGTTAGATAAGTTTCTCCCTGTAAATGTTGTCTGCAACTGAAAACGAGTTATCACAGTTTGAATAACTGTGAAATAACAAAAACCGCCATGAAATACAATTTTTCAAACCTGTTCTGGCTTTTGTGGGATTTAAAAATTTTGTTTGTTTTATAACTGTGTACAGTAAAGTAACAAATATACCAATGTAACTACTTTAATGAATTTTAGGAGTCAAAAAGAAAATTTAAGAATTATAAATACTTTTATGACATCTAACAATGTTATGGAAAAGGTAGTTTTAATAATTGCTCTCTGGAGCTAGAAAAATTACAGTTTCCTTTGCTTCCATTAATAATAGTATAACCTATCCAAAACTCAGGAGTCAATCAGAACTCACAGGAAAGTAATCTTCATATATCTTCTCTATTTTATGCTGGAGATTAGAAAAGAACTCAAAACATTTTAAAAAATTGGTATTATAACTATGGTTTTGAAGTAAAGCAAAGATGGTCCTTAAAGATGCCATTAATCTAAATGGTAGGAGTATTTGCTTAAGCCAATGTGAGAAGACTGTTAACAGAGTTCGGCAGCAGGGGAGAAGGAATTCAATCAGCTCTGTCTTCACCAGTAGATACATCCAAATCAAAAAGAATAAATTATATTTTAACTGCTGGGTCACATAGATGTGCTATGCAGTAAAACACAAACTACAAGAAGAGCTTCCCCAGACTGTATCTTCTGAGAAAATTTTCTTTATAAATTTGTGTATGACATGCTTATGCACGTGCAAAGAATTTTGTCCTGACTTAGATAGCTTGGACAGGTAAAGTAACCATAAAATATGGAAAAACAGATTTTCAAAATTCTTTGTAGAAATAAGAAAATAATTGTAGAATTTTTCTATCACCTTAGAAAAAATATCTGTGACTGTAGGCAATATTTTCTAAACAGTAAGTGTTGTTTAAAAGCAATGCATTGAAAAAGATTTTTAGAAAAATATGAAAATACTGCTTAAAATCATTTAGAATGTTGTACACCAAATCAAGCATACCAAAATCAATCTTGATAAGGCTGAACCTGACAATAATATTAATAAAATTATAAAAGTCCTGAAACATTTTGACCCATTATTAGTAAAACAGAAAATATTATAATTCTCATCAGAATTTTTTCAAATCCATATTATAAGCAGAAAAAAATTCAACAAGGAGAGGTGAAGAAAACAACAAATCAAATGCAAACCCCTTGAAAAATCAATGTTATTTCCACTTTTATATTTAACTCTTAAGATACTACATAAGAATCAGTTTCCTTGCTTTTCCTCTCCTCTATCAGTTTCATGGAATACATTAATTCTCAATAGTTTGTTTCTTTTCCTCGTGATGAGATTAGACTGATGACACTAAGTTGCAATGACCTTGTTTTTCAAAATTCTTAAGCAGATATTATCCTATTTTACATTTTCATATGTAAATCTACTATCTTACCCTACATTTTCATATGTAAATCTACCACAGGCCATAAGTTTGTGCTGCTGGACATATTCCAAGAATATCAGACCCACCAGTAGGCCTATACCTCCTGCAGATGTGTGATCTCAATCGTGTACTGTCATCTTTCAGGTATGTATTCTGGTCTGACATCAGATAAAAACTAGGATGTGACATGGATCCACATTGTTCTTCCAGATGCTCATGCAATACTCAGAATATGACATTTGTCTTGTAGAAATGTGAAGATTTTTAACCATTACCCATACTGTGCAAAATATACACACCTATTTGTATTTTGATAATACTAGAAAGTACTGGGATCGAGATATTCCTCATTTTTTTTTGTCCTATTTGGGTCCTATTTCTAATCTCACTAACATTCTTCGTGGAAAAGCAGGAAATGGATGATTTAAGCATACAGCTGTAGGAACTCTCTTACCAAACAGCCTCGGAAGCAGAGTAATCTATCACGTTCACAATGAAACTTTTCAAATTCGCATCTCAGCAGGGAGCATACAGAAAGCAGCAGTCAGAGGTGAGGAAACATTCAAAGATACATCAAAGCAGACCACCAGTCTAATGAGGAAGAAACCGCCACCATGAACATACTTCCCCAGCACAGGCCTCAGGATGTCATATGACTTGTCAAAAGCCTTCCCAACTCAATTTTTTTTGAGAAGGGTGGTTGACTTAAGACCCAGAGGGACATGGATTGGTGAGCACGGCACCAGATAACAGCAGTAGATGCTAGGAAGGTGTTTTGTATAATAATTTTAAGAGTATTATTGATTTTATCCTGTATTTATTAGATAATTTGGACTACTAGGCTGTTAGAACATTGATAACACCAACAATATAGTCTTACTATACCTTCACCCACAACATTTTGAGTGTGACAATGGTTCATATGTAGATTTTGAGGGCAACATATATGATATAAATATATATATAAAATATATATTTGCATATATACATCTATACATACATGTATATGTATATATTAAGGACCCTCTTTCCAAAAAACATTCAGATTGGTCACAGCTCTCCTGTTTGTCCTACAAAAATGAAACTCACTTAAACAGAATTTAGTTATTTATACCTTTTATTATTAGTGGGGAGTGGCAAGATCCCATATGTGGATAGGGATTTAGTTTTGGTCAAAAGAGACTAAATTCTGCCCTCACTCCTAACTGCAGAGCCCTATTAAAGTCAAGGGATTGCATCAGTGAAACAGAGAGTAAAACATGGACTCTATAGCTAGTAAGTAATAAGAAACATTTTAGACAAAGTGCATTTGAGTTCTCATGAAAGATGTTAACTGCCTTAAATACTCCAAAGCTGCTTCTTGCTGCAGAACAGATAGCTCAGGAGCAACATCAGGAAAATCTGCCCAAGCTGATTCTATAATTGTGCCTGAATACTGGTGTGGTGGGACTGCTTCTAAAGATGAGGGTATAGTCCAGTCTTTAAACTGGGGCAGGTTGAATTATCTATTGCAGTTCCTAAATTATTTATTTCTGTTCACAAATAGGCTTTGATTTTTATAAACGTATTTGGCATGCATCATTATCTGATCAGTTTAGCCAGACAAAATCTAACTTTTGGGTGACTCACTAAAGACTCAGTCTTGCAAGGCACTGAGACTTGTCATGGCATTTTTAGTGACATGCAGTTTTTGCTCTTTGAATAATTGACTGATGGCTTCAGGAGAGAGGTGAATGACAAACAAACAAGACAGAGCAACTGGTTTGTTCTGCTAACAAATCTTCACACATTAAAACAGATCATCTTTGAGGACCACTCTCTCTTATATTTATGATCATGGATATAACACTGTCATTCCTTTTTGTCAATATCAAATAAAAAGGGTCAAAAATAAAAGTTGAATTAAATGGCTATCAGAAAACTGAACAACCATTCATGAATATGGGACTTTATCAGTCTCACATAAGTTTTTGGTCAAGAAAAAAAGAAGAAGAAGGAAAAAGGAAAAATAAATTGCATCTTAGTCTCTTCTAACTCGGAGTTCAAAACCTAGGCAGAATGCTGCATAAGCCTGCAGTTTCTCAGCAGGACATGCTGAAACAATTCCTCTCTAATTTGCTTATCCTTTCCCCATACACATTTTTCTTGACCTACCTTGGGTTGTCTCTGGGACTCATAAGATCCTGTGGTGAGCTGATTCATCACACAAAATTAGTAATATGTATATATACGTATACATATATATAGCCATGTAGTCAGCTATTTCATATATTAAAACCACTTAGGGAAAGACATGATAAAGACTAGAGGTGGCAGAAGTAATGAGGGAGATATCTGAGAAGATGGAAATTACTGGTTGATATAAATGGATTTGAAGACTAAGTTCCATGTTGTTATGTCCTGATCATGTCTCTGTTTTTCTAACAAGAGGACAGCACTAAATTCTCTCAAAACAGTGAAACATCTAACTTTCATATGATTGCACAGAGGTTTACACATTAATCCAGCAAATGGAAGACCTACTACAATAATAAATTTTATTCTCTTGTGGGTTTAATTACTTCTTTTTTAAATATGATTTTTTTCCCCTTACAACTTCAAACTTAAAGAAAATGAGTGATAAATGTTTGTCATTGCAGACCATGGCATATAAGCATGATGATGGTGGACAGATTGTGTGGAAGTGCAAATACATGCCTACCATGTGAGGAAAGAACTTGCTGGAAGGACAGTTAACAGTCTCTTCATTATCATTATGTTATACTCTCTTTTTTATGACAAATATTATAAATCATTGTTGAGGATTATTTTACCTTTAGTAAACAGTAAGAAGGGAAGTGGGTGTAAAAAATAACATATCAAGCATATGATTTTTTTAATCGTGAAACTTAGAAGCTAAATATAAATGTAACATGTATACACAATTGTAAAAGGGTTCATCTGAATTAAAGATTGGGCCTATTTCCAAAACATCAGGACACTTCATTTGCATATTATCCAAGAAAAGGACATGCCTATGTCATGCAAGGCTACAGGCTTAAAACTGTGTTGTGTGGAAAGATTGGCTTGAAACATTCAAGTAACATAAAATTAATTACCTTGAGCATAGTGCCACATAAATACAAAAGAATTATTTCTGTGTGTAAATAACCCAGTAAATATTATCTTTGGCATTTCTAGTAAAAGGTCACAGGATCTGCACTGACCTGACAGACCAAGGTCTCAGTGCTGGTCTGAGCTCACTTTGGCCATAGGTGGGCTGAAGTTGCTGTCATTATTAATGATGATTTCTTGTATTAATTGGATAATTTGGACTATTTAACTGTTAAAACATTACTTATACTAACAATAAATTCTTAGCTCCAGATATGTGATGAGTTCATTTTGGCTTAATGAAAAATTTTGAGAAAGTTTGGTTGAAACTATTGAATATGAAGGTGTCCAATTGTCAGGTCTCCTTAATATGTTACAACAAGATTGAGGTTATACAAAACGTAAACTACTTTTGAAAAACTCAGGTCAAAAACATGCTTGAGCAAACTTGAAAGATGTAAAGAAATCCACAACACACATAGATAACAAAATGAGTTACATGAGAGACAAATTGTCCTCACCAAATATTTTTAGATATCTTGAATTCTATGATGAACATTGGAATTCAGGTTTACTTAGGATATGTGGTCACTGTAAGTGTGGGTCTTTACAAGACTCTGCTATAATAACAGGAATTTTTTTCCTTGATTTCCTACTTTAGTAAAGTTCAACATTATTCCTCTAACTATAATGATAATAATTTAGGTTGAGATAAACCACAATTTTTATTGTAACTGAGACTATTAGATGTCCCAGGAAGGGCCCAGGAGTCTATTTTGTGTCATTACAAGCAGATTTCATAGCTGCTTTATTGACTTTGCATCAAACCTACACATATGGGTGGAAAGGAGTTTGCAGTCACTTTTTGACAATCTAGATTAGTAATAGACCAAACAATCTAAAAATTATGTTTTAGAACAAGATATTTCAGTAAATAAAAGTAAGTGCTTTGCAAAATTAATTTTAAAATACATTCAGATTATAGCACGGTAATGGAAAACAGTTCTTTTAAAGGAAAACAGAAATGGAAACTGTCATTAACTCCACAAAAATATGACAGCACCAGCCTTTTATCTCAGAAAAATAGCATTGCAATTTGGTCTGAAAGTCTAACTGAACTGAGATGCCACTCACAAAAGCTAGTACAGTGCAAAGCCAGTCCCGAATTATAAATTAACTATAGTCAAAGTAAACATGTCCATTTACACAGAACATGCATCTTTTCCTCCTTTTTTTTTTTTTTTTTTTTTTTTTTTTGGTGACCTGAGTGGCAATAGACCTCATTTTACATTCACCTATAAACTCATATAACTTTCCTGACATAAGCAGAGTGCATTCTGGCCTTATGCAAGATGTTCTGTGAGCAGAGTGACCAGGGAGACAACTGCATCCTGCAGCACCTTTCTCTGCAGACCAGACTTGTTTTTAATGTAGCAGTCTTGCCAGGGACCTAGCAAAGCTCAGAACTGTATTAACTCCTTGTGGGTCTTTTCTTTGACTACTTAACAGACACAGGAAGCTCCAGCCAGTAGCAGCAGAATCTCACAATAAGAAACAAAGAGATCCTTCTTCTTAGTCCTTCACAGCTGCAAGGATATGCACCACTGTAGCACAGTATCCAATTGTTTTTTAACAAGCTAAAAAAATCCACCTTTCATGATAAAGCCTTTCCTTTATACAATGTATTTAATATTTTAAAATAATTATGACATATTGGTGAAGCAGAATTTCCTTAAACTGGGCAAGTATGAAAAGCTTAGTAAGTGATAATCTGCCAAAAAAACCCAAACCATGACCAAAACCAAACAAAAACCAAACTACACAAAAAACCTCACCAAACTCTAATAATATTTAGCTTTAATAGATAGAATTACTTTATTAGAGGTCACTAGAGTATTATCTATATAGGTCTGTATGAGAACATAAGCAATTATCTTTGATTTTTTCAGAACAATTATTATACATGGCAGGTATTTCTTCAAGTGTTCTACCACCACCTGGAATATAACTGTTCAAACATAGGAAACAAAGCAAAATGGTGATTAATAGTAACGAAATTGGATACTAGGGAAAACTCAATATAAATGATGGAACTTAATTGGTGGAGCTATGATAAAAAAGTCTGTAAACAGATCCTTTCTACACGAAATTCATAGTGCAGCTGTCTATCATGTAAAATTCACACTGTCCACAAACTATTAATATTTTTAGTTCCCTTTTACTTTGCTGGAATATATTTAGTTACTTCATTCTCATTTTTTTCAGGTTTTACAGGTTGTGTGCTGATTGAACACTGCTGGTAGCAAATTCTGCTGACAGAAGCAGAGGAACAAGGATCAGTTGACTTCACTAGAGTGATTCTTTCTGAACTGGGGAATTTTTTGTCCTCATATTCCAAATAACTTGAAATAATTAGAAGTTCCAAATTTCTAATTCCAGATTCAACTCTTCCCTGTTTTTTTCAGAAACTGGAAGTAAAGAAAACGGAAATATTGACCTATGATTGTGCAAATGACTTTATTTAGTTTATAGAAAACAACACTGAAGAAACATATGATCTGAACCTCTGGAGGGATAAGGAAAATGGATTAAAAGATTAAACCATTTAAGTTTTGGTAGCTAAATGAAGGTTATCTACGTGGGAGTCAGGTCCTCCAGGCCCACATTATCATTATTGTCAAGGGAGAGCTACTCACTACAGTCACTGGAGTCTGAAGAGGCACTGAGCTGATCATACTCTAGAAAAATATTGAGTTTTACAGATTTCAGGTGTCTACTGTCATCTGAAATTCCATGGCATATCCTAACTAGCCTATAAGTGCTGCACTGAGGCACCTGTGTCTTGTTGGTCCTTGCCTTTGTGATTTAAAAAAACTAAGTATCTCTGAAATCCAATTCGACACAGCTCTTGGTGTTTACATTTTATTTATTTACCCATTTAATCTATTTCAGAGTACCCAGAATCATTTTCAGTGCACATATTGACTTGTTTCTAAGCTTAGAGACTTAGCTCACACATGGACACCAATATACAGGCACATTTAGAAGTCTGACCTAGTAGCTGCCTCTTATCTTTAACATATATAATTAGCTACAGGAATAAGGGAGTAATCTGTCTTCCAGGCTCAGTTCAGTTACCCACACATGAGCATTCAATGTTGTTTGTGATTTCCTTGGGAATCCTGCTTAGTCTCCTGCTGCCACACTGAAAGAGTTTGAGTAGTGTGAGTGTCCTCTGTGTCCTTTATCATGTCCCAGGACTAGTTGGATGATACAGGACATCTCCAAGGGCACAAGATATCTACATATAAGGAAATGAATCAAACTTTCTTGTAACTTCTTAGGATACGAAAAGAAGTACTGGACTTTCTGAAATAATTGGTCCTGAAGAGGAAAATTTACCTTCCACATTATGAAAATCTTTATAACTGTAGGAATACCTGAAGACATGATTAAATGGATGGCCTGGGATGACCTGATGATCTAGACAGACATCTGCAAGGATTTGTCAAAAGTGCTGAAAATTTGATCATAAAATTAGCAATATGACTCATGCCTAGAGGCTACTATGTTAAAAAAAAAAAAAAAATCAAACCAAAAAATACAGAAAAAAACAAAACAAAACAAAACAAACCCCTTCTATTTATAGACTCAAAGTCAACACATTGATTTTTTAAAAAATTAAATCTGTTTTTTTTTCTGAATGTGCTTAGACTTGCATTTATTTCCAATCCTAAGACAAAATGAGTGAGACTGGTATGGTGATGAGTTATTCAGTGTTATTGATATACAACCTAAACTTAAGACTTTTGTAGGGAAATATTAAATCTCTATTAAAATTGCACTAAAAGAAAATAAGGTAGTATGTAATCTAGTATGTTTACTTTCTTTCTTTTAAAGGTTTATTGAAAACAATATTAGACTTTCAATACACCATTCTTTCTTCAGTAGTCATTCTGTAGACCTTGAGTATTATATTCATCTACAGTACAGAGGTACACAAAAGAAAGCAGTTAATTAACCGTGGTTTTTAGATATCCAGAAGCCAAGGAAACATGAAACATATCTTGCACAAAACACCTTAAAATTATATAATATACTGTACAGAACAGAATTTTGGGGCAACACTACCTATACCACCCATGCAACACTTTATTACAGAGAAGATTTAATGAAAGCAACTTGGCACTCGGCTGTAAGTAATACCATGATAAATGACTTACTTTTGAGGAAGGATCACTACTGTAACAAAGTAAATTAGAAATTACGGAGAGAAGTTATGTAGCTCACTTTTTATTCAACCTGAAGTTTTCTTGGAAACTGTTATTCATATGTCCACCAGTGAGAATGCTATACCACACTCTTATTGTTGGCAACTTTAATTTGAGTAGAGAGATTCTAAGGAAAAAAAAATATTTCTGTCTTCACAGGTGCTTCATGACTGCAATATTTAATATTTTTAAACAGATACTACACTTAGCTTGTAATCATTCCATTGCATAGTGAAGCAGTGAGGTCTCAGATTATTTTGAGGACCAGTCAACTTTGACCTGCTAGAATTCCATACGGGAAGTATGAGGTTGGATGGACAGCACTAAACCAATATATTTTAATGGGATGAGTTCTCTCATGTAGCTAGTGATGAGCGTTTGAAGGGAGATTTTATTTTTATTTATTTAGTCATGAGAGAGTGTCATGATTTAACTGCAGACAGTAACTAAACACCATGCACCACTCATTTTCTCCTTCCAACCCCACTCCCAGGGAACGGGGAGGAGAATTGGAAAAAGAACATAAAACTTGTGGGTTGAGATAAGAATAGTTTAATAATTTAAATATTTTTGTTTATTATTATTATTAATATTAATATTAATATTAATAATATTGTTATTAATATTATTATTGTTGTTGTTGTTGTTGTAATGAAAAAGGAGGTAACAAAAAGAGAGAGAAATAAAACTCAAGAAGAGGCATGTGATGCACAGTGCAATTGCTCACCACTTGTTGACCAATGCCCAGCCAGTCCCCAAGCAGCGATCAGCCTCCCCTGTCCAACCCCCCTCATTTATATACTAAGTGTGAGGCCCTATGGTACAGAATATCCCTTTGGCTAGGTTGGGTCAGCTCTCCTGGTCATGGTCTCTCCCAGATTCTTGTGTACCTTCTTGCTGGCAGAGCATGTGAAACTGAAAAGTTCTTGACTTAGGATAAGTGCTGCTTAGCAACCACTAAAACATCAGTGTGTTATCAACATTATTCTCATACCAAATCCAAAACACAGCACTATACCACCTACTAGGAAGAAAATTAACTCTATCCCAACTAAAACCAGGACAGAGAGACTAGGTATTTATTTTCAATAATATAGCAACTAAGTTTTTTTTTACCAACAACAAAAATTGGCACTTACTAAAAATTTGGAATTAGAAGACATGGTTACTCTGATCCTCAGTGACATTAAATTTCTGTGTTCAATAGAACACAGGAAGAGATCAAATCTACTATTTAAAACAATAAACATGACAGTTTCAGTGACCTGAGCACTTCAAGTTTTAATGAAGAATGCAGGCAACAGAAGATGAGGATTTACTAATACATATATTATTCCTTTCCCTACTTTTTGTATAAGTTATTATATTTATAGATGTATTATCTAGACAATTCTGAAATTTCACAGTGTTTTGCTAGAGAACACTCACTGTCATTACAGACAATAAAGTGAGACCAAGGAGTGGAGGTTTAACTTCTACCACTTTACACAAATAGCTGCATAAAATTTAACAGAGATAATTGTCTGAGTAAGTGATAGAGTAACTTGGAAGTACACTGTCTGGCACTTCATCTCACCTATGTATTAAATCCATAATGAAATTTCAGTTTGTCCTGGTTTGGGCTCAAATAGAATTAATATTCCTTTTCAGGGACTAGATGAGTGCTGTGTTTTGGATTTAGCTTTGGGTTTGGTATGAGAAGAATGCTGATAGCACACTGATGTTTTCAGCTGCTACTGAGACTTCAAGGACTCTCCGACTCTCCATGTCCTGCCCGTGCGCAAGGGCACAGGGAGCAGGGAGGGAGCACGGCCAGAGCACGTGACCCTAACTGGACAGTGAAATATTCCATATCATGGAATGTCATGCTCACTATATAGAGGAGGGGTAGTTGGGAAGGAGCTCCCTCGCTTCCAGGATTGTGATTGTGGGATCTTGGTATCTCGGGGTCGCTAGCTGGGAACGGGATGGATATTGGTTAGCGGGTGGTGAGCAATTACGCTGTACATTGCCTGTTTATATATTTCCTTTTTTTTTTTTTTTTTTCCCCCTATCATCATCATTGTTCTCATTTTATTGCCCTTATTAAACTGTTCCTATCTCAGCCTGCGAGTCTCCCTTCACCCCTTTAATTCCCTCCCCCATTCCCAGGTGGGGAGGAGGAAGGGAGGGTGACCAGCTGCGGTGGTTGGTTGCCGACCAGGCCCAAACCACGACACAGTTCCATATCTAATGCAGCTTTCTCCATACTATCATCAGCCAACCTTATGGAGAAAAGTATAATCTGGAATGGTTCCCCCCCCCAAAAAAAAAAAACAATCTACTTTCAATTTCTTGATCTTCCTTTAGTCCCTACCTGATCTTGTTATGTCTTCATCTGTAAGGAAGCCAGAGTAGGAGTAATTAATCATGTTCAATAAGAGCTAATGGTTGGAAGTAGTGCTATGATTTGATATTATGCAGCTTATTAGACTGGGAAAAAAGGTACCAGGAAGTAAATTTCCTCCTTATTAAGAAAGCTATCTATTATAGAGCTTTTCAGTGAAGGTGTTAGGAATACTGTACTGTCTCCTGTAAATAAACTTTAAAAAAACCTTGTCATTAAAAGTGTTCAAAATCTGGAAAAGCAAGTTTCTGTCACGTCTCATTCCATTTGAAAACAGGTAAGTATGAACAAACATGATGTGTGACAGGAGGAGGAAAATCTTCTGTTCTTTCACCTTCAAACAGGAAATATCTTTCTGACACATTTGAAATGTTCTCCTACTCTTCCTTTAGCTGGATTGTCTGTTTAGATCTCTGAAGTTATCTCTGAAACTATATTTACATTGAAAAATGATGTATAGTGAAGACTTCCTCAGGAAAACAGTTGTCTAAGCCAGTAAAACTGTAGTGCAAGTCAAAGCAATGCCACAGAAAGACACCATATGATTAAACTGGTACAATTGTGTTGATAGAGCTACACTCATGTAAATATATACTGATATGGTATTAGTTTGCTCAGAACAAGCGTATCAAACTTCAATCCATTCAGATACCAGTTCAGAAATTAATCGCCTTTCCTTGTCTCACGGTATTTTCTTGTATTCACAGTACAGGTATAAATGAGTCCTGACAAGTCCCATGTTTTCATATGGCTTAATAAAGTAGTGCCTATTATTTTCTCTTACTCACTACATAGTGAACATATAGAAGAATCCTCCCACACTGGACTGTAAAGTAAATCAGT